AGTCGTTATATATCACAATGTTATATGGTGAAAAATGGCGTTTTTTCCTTCCCCTCAACACCAGAAACACGGACAGCGACATTCAGGCGGACGAGTCAATCCATGCTCGGAAGGGAGGAGGGGGGAGAGAGAAACAGTCACAATGCCAGCGAAAGAGCTGCGGTCTGACGGTCACCGTAAAATACAATTAATTAAGAACCGAAATGGTTTAAAACATCTTTCCAATGGTTACTAAGCCAGAATCCATATTCTCGGTTGAAATTGTCTCTGTGCTTGTATATGTGGATGGCCTCATGAACGAATCTCTCACAGTAGCCGGTTGGCTTGCAAAGAACCTCCGTCTTGGAGAAGTCAATACCATGTGAACCCACTGAATTAAAACAGTGATCTGCCACGGCAGAAGAGTTCGTCCTACCGTGTTTCAAGTCTGCTTTATGTTCGCGGATGCGGTCCGAGATATGTCGTTTGGTTTCCCCAATGTAGTTGCTACCAAAGAGGCACTTTAGTTTGTAAATGCCCGGATATTGTATGTCTGGAACAGCATCTTTTACAGATGGAACCAGATCACGGATTTTATGTACTGTGTGGAATCGGACCTGGATCTTGTGTTTATTCAGGATTTTGGAGATCTTTTTAGTGACTCCTGCAATGTAGGGTAAGGTGATGGTTTTGAGTGGCTCCTCAAAAATTGCACTTTTTTTTTTACAAATTTTACTAAGAACAATTTTGATACATAACCGTATAATAAAATGTTAGCAAGTTCATATAAATTCAAGTACTCTTTATATTACACTTATTATTTATGCTTTGATTCTAATACGTTTCTCGTGTTTTCTACCTTATAATTTTACGTGCTCATTTGTTCATGACTAAAATAACCTAAATTTAGATTTAAAGCTTTCGTGACTGCAGGGATTCATATTCTTTGTTCCTTCGGTAAAGTCACGTAGAAGGGAAACAATAAAATAATAAAAATATAAAACAATAAAATTCTCACGACGTTTCGACTGCAACACAAGCAATCATCATCAGGTGTGAAAACCACAGCAAGAACATTTTTTAAAAGTGGCGTTTTTTAACGTTAGCACCACGGAGAGCGATTTGACAGTTTGTTCAGATGGACGAGTCCATCTATGTTCGGAAAAGAGGAGGGGGAGACGAAAATAATGGATGCGGTCTGAAAGCCACCGTAAGAGTGAACAATCAATTATTTTATTGTTTCCCTTCTACGTGACTTTACCGAAAGAACCAAGAATACAAAAGAACCTACCAAAGCATTATTTTATTGTTAGTCAATATTGCATTGTGCTGTGAATCGTATAAATGGGAATGTAATGTACCCTATTGAAAATTGTATGACATTATATCGTAGGTATGTTAGAACTGCATGTTAGGGTTGTGCAAAGTCATCATGCTGTATGACATGCTGACGGTTATCTGCAAGCATGCTGGTGATGCAACATTTAGATGGACTTCTTTGGAGTTATATCCTTTGTCCAGAAAAGTCTCAGGCTCACTTGGGATTTTGGCCACTTTCAAACTAACGAGTGTTTTTGCATGACAGTAAATGAGAGTACCTGGGGGGACAACATCGTGCCGAAGAGAGTATGACAATGCATGGTGCTATACATGCAGTGTTTTTAAATAAATATGGTAATGTGAGATGGCCATCTCTTTCGTGGCACAGATCCAAGAGGAGTCTCTTTGGAAAGTCAGAGTGGTGTACACAAACAACTGCTGGTAAATATGCTCGCATGCATTTCATTTACATCCAAGATGCGTGCATTTTATTTATATCGATGTCCCACAAGCCACAGTGGGGTTACAATGTTTAGTTCCGAGAAGCTTGAGACAACCCATATTTGGTATACCTTGAATCGTCTCCATGGGCTCCCTTGAAGAATCGACATTTTGCCTTGCTGTGTGCTTGTTTCCCCAAAATTAAAATGATTCTTAGAAGCCTGGTAAGTCCCCAAGCTATAAACATAATTTTTGTTGCAAAGATAGTTTTTCTAAGTGGCAACAAATATGTAAAAATATGAGCAAAATCCTGTTTCAAACTATATCAAAATCTGTTTGCGGTCCATTGTGGGCCATTGCCGAAAATTATAACTATTTTATTCAGCTGTGAGACAACTGTTCATGACAGGGCATGATAGGTAGGGCAATGCCATTGCCTAGTGGTAGCGCATTCACTGCTTTTTGTTGAGTTACATGGTTCGAATCCAGTAGCCGTCCTAATTATTACAGCGAGTGTAATAACTATAATGTGCCATTTGCTTTATAGTAGACATTAAAGATCTCCTGACGTAATAAGAAAGAGTAGGTCATTGCGTGCCATAGTCAGGGTCCAAATTTGCCAAACTGGAAAATTGCCCGTAAATTGCTCAATTGGGATTATATAGAGAGATTATCCCCTCCGACTCGCAGACTGATGCACCAGGGTCATTCAAATTAGCTTATCTGTTCTCACCTAGCTAAACAAAATACACTTGAACATGACAACCAGATGCATAGCATGGTTAATGTAATAAAGTCACATGTAATTTTGAAAGCTTATTTCGTGAAAATTGCATCCCACAACGCTGTACAATTTGTAAAACGTGCCGTTTTCAAACGGAGGCATGGGAAACCACATACAAGCCAGAAGAGAGCCAGAACCGGTGCCAACAATTACCCAAGCTATGCGGCCTGCCAAAATAATCCCGTTGGTTTGGCAAATTTGGACCATGACGCGGGCACACAATGAACTATTATCGTGAAAGACGCCACGGGTCCTTCAACGTCCACTCTGAAAGCAGACGGCACGTAATATTTTTTTGTGTTTTTAACCCACTGTATTAATCAGAGAGGCTGCTGGATTTGAAGCTTGAGCCTTTGTAAAAAGGGTCGAGTGCACTTCCATTCGGCAATGTCACCCCCTTGTGGTTGGCATAGGTCTTGGTGCAAGGGATAAAATAGGGGGCCCTGTCCAATTTCGCCGCCCCCCCCCCCCCCCCTTTATCGTCTGGAAGCTGGTAAGAACACTTAAACCACGTAAATTTTTACGCACCGGTGTAAAATGGCAAAGCCATACAGTTTGGACCTCCGGAACATGTACCAAAGGGTTTATTTAGCTTTTTTTTTACAACCCTCTAACGAGACTTGTAATGTGTGCAGAGAGGAACAATTACAATTCATACGACTCAGAGGAGCTCTTTGGTACAGGTATCTTTGTCTACACACCACACAACACCCATTGTTTAGAAATCTTTATTCAAATACTACATTACGTCCAGAAACTTCATTTATAAGCTATTTTAGGTACATGCACTGGTTTGTAAATGATTTCATGAAGCAAAATGAGTAAATCCATGAAGTATACAACACCTATGGGATCCCATTCACGGTATACAAATCGCTGTATATAGCAGTGTGCAACTATTTTAGCCATAAAACATGTTTTACCTTTTGCCATGATTATATTGCTGATATCACCATGTCTAGCCTACTTAATTTCGCCCCTCCTGATTTTGTTAGTAGTACTTACATGATAAAATAATTAATCCGTTTGTGGCTTACAACACCGCCACTGTATAAATTCGTGTTCTGTCCACATCAAATATTCATAATAAAGGTTTTTGGGTTAGATCGCATTATTTATAAATGTGTCGTAACCCTCCACCACCCGACACGGCCAATTAGCAAAATAAAGTGTCACGTTGACAAACTACAATTAGTTCACTACTTTAGCCCACCGGTGTGTTGAAGAGTGAATCCACAACATTGACAGTTTGAATGCGACGTTTCGCTGGTAATTACATCCAGCATCATCGGGCAATTCGCCAGAATGGTAAAGCCCTCACTTGCTCTCGGTCTTAAATAGCGCAGCAGGGTGACGTCATCATTTAACTCATTTCAGGTGCAGTGATTTGAGGCCGAGGGGGGGGTATTGTAATTATATAATCGATTTGTAATCAGTCAATGGTTATGATTAGTAATGAGTTGTAGATTAGTATTTAGTTGTAATGTGTGTTATTGTGATTATATGCTACATTAGTAATCCGTTAATTAATGTTTCCCCTATAAGGAATTGTAATATGTATTATTTAATATTACGCTTCCAAGCCGCACTAAGCCTAAAGCTATTAGAACGATTAAAGTTATTTCTGTTTCTCTCAATTTCAATGGATTCTCTAATTAGTCTTTGCCAGTAATAATTAGTTTTACACAACACTTCAACGTTATCAAAATCAATTGAGTGTCCTTGTTGACAAGCATGTTCTGCCACTGCCGACAGTTGTGTTTGAGATAATTTAATATTTCTTTGGTGTTCTTTTAGTCTTATGCTGATGTTACGTCCCGTCTGTCCAATATAGCATCTGCCACATAAACAATTAATCCGATATACACCTTCTGTTGATAATTTAGGTAATTCGTTTTTCGTGCAAGATACTAGTTTTTGAATTTTGTGTACTGTACCAAATCTTACTGTAATGTTTTGCTTTTGCAAAACATTGCTAATTTGTCAGTTACTCCTGAGATATATGGAATTTTAATTGTTTTAAGAATCTGATCGTTTTCAGCAGTGTTGCTTTGCGATCGTGATTTGGCATTCAGTGCTCTGTTAATTTGAGTATTATTGTAGCCATTCTGTCGTAATGCTTCTTTAACGAGTTTGATCTCTCTCACTAGACTTTCACCATCTGACACTGTTTTAGCCCGATGTATGAGCGTCTTGATAAGAGAGGCTTTCTGAGCTGGATGATGATGCGAATCTGCATTCAGATAGGTATCAGTGTGCGTTTGCTCTCTGTCAACGCTGTTATTTTCCCGTTAATGCCATGTCCAAGCAAAATATCTAGGAACGGGAGTGTGTTATTCACCTCCATTTCCATGGTGAACTAGATGGCCGGGTTTTGTGTATTGAGATGATTTAGAAAATAATTAAGTGTATCATTACCATGTGGCCAGACAACCAAAGTGTCATCCACATATCTAAACCAAAAAGATGGTTTTAATGTGCTCGAGGCAAGTGCTCTTATTTCAAAGTTTTCCATGTACAGATTTGCTATACGTGTTAAACTCACATCAAATATGTCGTTTTCACATGTTAGATGTATCATGCACAATTCTTTCACGGTTAATTCGCCATGTGGTTACGTAACTTTCAGTGTTTAAAACAAGAATATACATTGTTACCAGCTGTTTCCTTTATATATGTAAACAACATTTTTTGATTCAGATTAGATTAAACAAGCTTGTGTTAATATTTCAAGAAACATGATGTAAATATCAATGAACCGGTATGTGTTAAGACGGCGATGACCATCTTGATGGTACAGTTCATCGGCCACAAGAATGTCCTTCCGAGTTTAATAACGCGCCATCACCTGCACATTGGAAATTCACATAAAATACAGTTTTATCTCATGAAAAATTACTGACAATATTACAACACAGTAATGGTTATTTGTTTTTTAATCGTTTCTAAATGTAATTGAAATCTTAAAGCCAATTGAATGCTTGAAACCACTGTACATCCAATAACACAATTTCACAGGTGAAATATTATGACACAAAATTAATAATTTTTATTTTCTGGTCTAAATATCTGGGTATTAAAAAAATAATTTCTTGCATACACTTCATAGTGTAGCTTCAGCCCTGTAAATTGTTATTAAAAGCTGCGGACATGGGGTCAATGGAGAACTCATTGAATATTTAATATAATTTAGATGGATTTACCCTTTTAAATCTGTATATTTTACAACAATGTTTAGGTTCTTGATCCATTTGACCAATTACTGTTTTGTAGTGTAAATTGGAACTTTTTACATTAGGGAGACTTGATTTTTGGAAAAAGATCTTCATATGACTGGCAATGAACATAATTTATCTAGGAAAGCCTTCCTGAGTCTCAAAATGTAAATTGATTAAGGGCCCTCATAGGGATTCACGTACGGTTGCCATATTTTCTATAGACAAAATCTAGACATTTTCTCAGGTAGCATAGACCTATCAACACTATACCACATAATACCATAATAGAATTTAAACAAAACTAACCATTCTCCATATGAATTATTTCCCGCCACCCGAACAGAAATGTAAATTTCTGAACTGTCTGTGTGAAACCCAGATCAAACCTGAACAAGTGGGAACCCTAGCTTGATGAGCTACTTGATAAGTTATACAGACGGACGTGTGAAGGAGACTTTGGTTGGTGTACTTCAACTTCTTTATTTCGTTTTCACCGCTCGTACACCATAGAAATACTCGTTCAAACCAACCCCGTTTCCTTGTTTTACAGTCCATTTTAAACCTCCTCTCAGCCCTTCCCCACCAATCACCTTTCTAAACTTTACCACTATTTTACGATCCGTTTCTCTTCGACCAGTGTCATCCACTCACCAATCTGATTGCGTGTCGTGCACGTCAGTGCTCACACCCCCGATCTCTATTCCTTGCCCGAGTGAGCTGTGTGTGCGTGACGTCAGTGACCCCTGACCTCCGACCCTTACTTGGTGTATCCCCCGTTTGCGTGATTGACATGTGCGGCGTGTGTGATGTCGAGTGCGGAAAGCATGCGTGCTGTTTGTGTGGTGCGAATGTGAGGATGGACGAGACATCCTCTACACATGCATCAATTTGCTGTACTGCCATCTTATGGTCAGCTCAGTCCAAGTTTTGTCTGATGAAGTCTGGATGAGCCACCAGCCTCACATCTAAAGCACTGCATCATAAGTGTATGCCACCATGTTCAACAAATGATAGACATATTCCATTAAATATATGAATTTGCAGAGTGTACAAATACTGTTTCAAAATATGTATAACGGATGAACATAGTATACGAGCTTGTGCATAACATTAGCTGTTTAGATGTCCAGCTTACGTTTTGAATCCAGGGAATGTAGGCAGATATACGAGTGAAGACTGTAGGCACATAGTAATCTTTACAACTCCGTTTTGATATAAATGTAACAACGCCATGCAGAACCCATGAATTGTCACTCTTCAGACATAGTAGCGGTCCACCCCAATCACCCTTTGAACGAACGGAAAAGTCATTGTTAAACCATTATCCTTAACCACAACTGAAGTTGAGTAGACAAAATTCTTACATCTGTCAGACTGTCAAATACTGTACTGTGTGAAATATCTTGATGCACTTTGAGCAGAGTAATCCATGCACTGTACAACTTGGGCACATTATTCCTAAAAACACTTTCACAACAAATGAGTAAATTGTTTACAAATTGTGACTCAGACAAGACATTTTCTTACATCGCATGCACCGCTTGATCCATCACCAGCACATGTTGTGTTTGCAGGTAATTGAAAACCCCAAAATGTGTTGCATGTGTTGTCGTCAATCACTGGTAGGTTGGCTTGCTGGAGCGTGCTGGTAAGTAAACCATTTTCTAAAAAATATCGGGAAAATGAAAAATAAAACTCAGTCACAATCCTCTTACAATATCAAAATCTCATTTATAGATATATTGTACAGATTGCAGTCAAGTCGCAAGACGTTTCCTTTTCAAAAAGGCAGCATTCCACGAGAAGCTGCACCAAACACGGCAACACATTCTAAGTTAAGGGAGGCGCAAGGGAATTCTACCATGATGTGGTGAAATCTCATCTGTAACAGCATTGTGCAAAGTTACGAATGTCCTCAAAGGTGCACACCGCTGCAGGGTTTGGAAATCAGCAGCAGTGTCCACAAAGGTCAACACAACATTAATGCAAGTGATCCCTCAACGCCTGGCCGTTGGTTATGTTGTCAGATCCTGCAACTGTTGTAGAGTTACCAGCTGACCTCCAGAGACCACACCTTGGTCACCCACTTTTCGGTGTCCACTTCAGTACCTCTGTTGATAGTCTGCCCCCCATCCTGGTACTAATGTAATGAACAGTGGAAGGACGATCGTGATGTTAATGAGGCCAGTTTTTAGACGGTGTTACCACAATAATTTCTACAAATAGAGGAATCCAATGGCAACCACGGATTTGCCAACCACGGTGTATTACTTGTGTAGTGTTGAACACGGAGGCACACACTTTGACTTGGAGGCAACACGTTTATTACACAGCCCCAACACGGCTAACTACATCAACGTACACACACTAACTAGACCCCAACAGGGTAACAACAGCTAAGCTTAACAGGGTAACTACATAACCGGGTCAGTCAGTAAGATGCTGGCTGACCCACGTTGCCGAGCGAAGATCGAAGAGCTGTAGCGCCGAGGGTTGATTCCAAAGAACAGCCCAGAACACTCTCGGGACTGCCCCTTTATGCTCATGAGCGTGGCCTTGCTCCGCCTTCGGCCACGCCCACTTTGAGACCTTTCCCGAAGCATCTCGACTGAGCATCACGTGTCCCTCAAGCCCCCCTCGGGCCCCCCTCACTACCCTGTCCCGGTCACGTGCCCTCTTGGGTTCTCCCAGACTACCATGTCCTGACTTGCCCTCTCTCAGGCCGTTACCAAGACTATGCCCCTTAGGGCCCGTCCGCATGCCGTACTCACTCTGGCCCCAGAGAGGGGTTCCAGACGCACAGTAGCACTCTTATAACAGTGCCTGGCGCTAACACCATAGTGACACCCTTAACGTCACTACACTTGTATACCATTTACCAACTGCGGTCTGGACATTTTAGTATCCATGGGTAAGCACGGTGTTCAGCAAGTCAAATTACGTCGGAATTACATCATTGCATTGTTGCATGAGATTGTATTTCGTGACATCATTGTTACAGAATTGCAGGGCCATGGTCTTCTGTGGCCCGGAGGAAGAGGGTGGACCGAGCCCCTCCTCCTAACTAGCCCCTCCCCCATCATCCCATTGTCATAATCATCTTACCTATAAAATTCATTTTTTTGTCCGTCTGCGCACAGCGCGTTTGCGAGGGATTTGGCTCCCAAACGGTGGGGTTACGTAAAAATAAAATTAGCCAGGTACCATGCTGTAAGCCCCACGGTGGGCAAGCGCTCTTTCCTTTTCCCGTCCATCACCTTTAAATTAGTTTAAATAGCATTTTTTTACGATTTATCTATTTATTTATTTTCACTATTATGTATTTATTTTCCTTCACCGCTCAGGGCAGGACAACGCAGCAGGCTGCACATGCGCACAGTGCTCATCACGGTTAGCCCCTAGCAACCCACACGCGCCATCGCCGGAGGTGTGTGGCCTTTTTTATTCGCCTGCACACTCTACAACAGGGGTCGGGAACCTTTTTGACTAAGAGAGCCATGAAAGCAAAAAATTTGGAAATTTATTTCAGTGAGAGCCATATAATATATTTTAAAAGTGAATTCAACTAAATGTCAGTATAATAAGCCTCTGAATTTATTTTTTTTAAATAATGTTGTTATAACACTCACCATTAATGCGACTTCTGGTGCTGCATGGATTTGCTGATGTCTTTGTAGTCGGGTTGGTACTTGGTGAGGTTAAGCTTCATGCAAGCGTTGAGGCTTTCATCCGTTAAACGTGATCGTAGGTTGGACTTGATGTTTTTAAGATGTGAGAATGACTGCTCACATGCATACGTAGATCCAAACATGGTCAATACAGCAATACTCACACGCTGCAGTGTGTGGTATGTGACAGGAAGCGCGTTCCAAGTTTTGAGAATCAGCTGGTCTTCGGGTTGGAGTTTTTTCATTTCTGTCCACATGTGCTTGCTCGCCAACTCCGCTTTCTGTCGTGTGATTCTTTCCAAATCTTCATCAGTGACTTGAACTTATTCACCCACATGTCTGAGGCCTTCAGGTCAGCCACTTCTGCTTCAAAATCTCTGACGGAGACACCAGGGATGTAATTCAGGTCGGCTGTGTTCAGTGAACACTCGTTTGGATGGGTGATGAACTTAAAAGACGAGTGTGCTCACGAAATTCTCCAAAGCGTGCTTTGAAGGACTGTAAGAGACTGGATGTGCAGTCAGCTAGCTGGTGGAGATCAAGGTTTTGAATGGGCTCACTTGCTGTGCATGCATCTTTAAATTGGCTCAGTTTTTCAAAATGTAGTAAACGACCTGTTTCAAGATCCGTGATGAAAAGCTCCAGCTTGTTTTCAAAAGCAAATACAGCTTGTTGAAGGATAACACTGTATTTCCAATGCCTTGCATTTTCACGTTGAGCTGGTTCAGATGTTCAGTCAGATCTACGAGATAGTAAAACTTGAGGAGCCACTCGGTGTCGGCTAGCTCAGGATGCCCGACGCCTTTCATTTCAAGGAAAGTCCGGATTTCGTTCAGGCAAGCCGCAAAACGGCTAAGCACCTTCCCTCTTGACAACCAACGCACATTGCCTGTGCAAAAGCAGACCAGGATAGTTATTTACAACTTCATCCAGCAGTGTTTTAAACTGGCGATCATTTAAGGCTCGGGCAACAATAAAGTTGATCACACGAATGACCAGCGACATCACTTCGCCAAACTGCCTGTCACACATCTGAGCACAAAGTGCCTCCTGGTGTATAATGCAATGGAAACTTAGGATGGGTCTATTTTTCATGTTCACGGAGAAGCGCCACAAATGCTTTGTTTTTCCCCACCATACACGGAAGCACCATCAGTACACACTGAGAGAAGTTTATCCATAGGTAGACTTTTTTCTTGAGCAAACTCCATGAAAGACTTGAATAAATCCTCACCTCTTGTGGACCCTTTTAATGGCAGAACAGCAAGACTTTCTTCGCGCAGTGTGTCACCAACAGCATATCTTGCAATCACGCTGAACTGCGACAAATGGCTCACGTCTGTTGACTCATCCAAAGCCAGAGAAAAGAACGGCGCTGCATTTATGTCCTTCACTTGCGTTTCCTCCACTTTGTTTGCCATCACGATGGTACGATCATGAACAGTTCTTGCCGACAGAGGCATGTCTTGTATCCGTTTGATTATCTTGTCTTTGTTCGGAAGATCATCAAAAAGTTCATTGGCTACATCCAGCATGAACGTTTTAGCATACTCGCCATCTGTGAATGGTTTTCCGTTCCTCACTATTGCTAAAGAACCAGCAAAGCTAGCCGAATTATAGTCACCTTGCCGGGTCCATACGCGGAGTTGCTGCTGGCTAGCTTGCACCCTGCTCAGCTCTTGGCACGCTTTCTTTCTGCTGTCTCCCGCAGGGTATTTGATGCAAAGGTAGCGTGGCGCGTGTCGAAGTGCCGCTTTACATTCGACCGTTTCAACGATGTAATTTTGTCATTGCAAATTAGACACACCGCAGAACCCGCTCTCTCCACAAAGGCGAATTCTTCGGTCCATTCGTCCTGAAATGTACGATACTCGTCGTCTTTTTTTCTTTTTCGCCATCTTCTTCGTCGAAGGGTTAGCTTGAGCTAATGACCGAGCAGACGCAGTCTCAGACTGATTCAAAAGGGGGCGTTTACCTGTTTTACCCAGCAACGGCAAACGTAGGCCAGTATCATCCAATTAAAATAATGGACAATTGCTCCTGCAGCCCTGAACAGGACATGCGCAGTGAAAAATCGATGGATGGATTAAAACAAGTGAGAATATTTTGTTTTATCTGCGAGCCATATGCAATCATCAAAAGAGCCACATCTGGCTCGCGAGCCATAGGTTCCCGACCCCTGCTCTACAAGGTAAGTTGCACACATTAGTATTATAAGCATTTATAAAATTACACTTTGCACTGCTGACAGGGGTTGCCCCTAGCAACGCACACACGATCGGCACACATTTTCATTCGAGTTAAACATGCAACTAAAATACAAACGCTGAGGTTATTTCTTCACAGTGTTATGTCCTCATCACCCCACCCCAACGCAATACGTCCTGTTACTACTATAGAGCCCCGAGATATTCTTATAGCGCTTAGATAGTATTATTGTAGCGCGGCTGGGGGGAGCGGCCCAGCCCCCAAGCCTGCCAAGGTGACACTCGGCCGGCTGCGCACTCTCGGCGAGGACAAGGGCTCTGCACGGGACTAGGCCTCACCACGACAATGTTAAGTACCATTTCCTTGCTTCTTTCCCTAACCTCACCTTGATAGAAACCAAGTTTTTGAATAATCACCTTGCTAATATTACATTAACTGTGTGCAGACTATTTTTGTTTGCCTGGTCACAACTAATCTTTTAACAATCACTTTGTAATGATATTTATTATTTGTCAACTCACCTTTATAGAAAACTTTACTCAATAACCACCTTGATAATATTACATTAATAACAACTCATCTTTCTCTTCCTTGCTTCTTTCACTAAACTCACGTACATATAATCCTGTTATTTTAATAATCTTCAAAATATAAAAACATTGATTTTTGTGTGCTCACAACTAATATTCTTTCAATACCTTGGTTCATAAATATTATTGTGTTAACTAACGTTGACAGAAACCTGAACTTTAAAGAATCAACTTGAAAATACAGCATTGCATTTGTTG